TTACTACACTTAATAAGTTTGTTTTACTGTACACTTACTACACTTAATAAGTTTGTTTTACTGTACACTAACTACATAAAGTTAATAAATGTGTTTTGCCGTACAATTACTACACTTAATAAGTTTGTTTTGCCGTAAACTTACTACACTTAATAAGTTTGTTTTACTGTACACTTACTACACTTAATAAGGTTGTTTTACTGTACACTTACTACATGCAGTTAATAAATGTGTTTTGCCGAACACTTACTACACTTAATAAGTTTGTTTTACTGTACACTTACTGCAGTTAATAAGTTTATTTTGCCGTACACTTACTGCATGCAGTTAATAAGTTTGTTTTGCTGTACACTCACTGCAGTTAATAAGTTTGTTTTACTGTACACTTACTACACTTAATAAGTTTGTTTTGCTGTACACTTACTACACTTAATAAGTTTGTTTTACTGTACACTTACTACACTTAATAAGTTTGTTTTACTGTACACTTACTGCATGCAGTTAATAAATTTATTTTGCTGTACACTTACTACATGTAGTTAATAAATGTGTTTTGCCGTACACTTACTACACTTAATAAGTTTGTTTTACTGCGCTCGGCAAAACAAACGTATTAAGTGTAGTAAGTGTACAGTAAAACAAACTTATTAAGTGTAGTAAGTGTAAGTAAGTGTACAGTAAAACAAACTTATTAAGTGTAGTAAGTGTACAGTAAAACAAACTTATTAAGTGTAGTAAGTGTACGGCAAAACAAACTTATTAAGTGTAGTAAGCGTACAGTAAAACAAACTTATTAAGTGTACGGTAAAACAAACTTATTATGTGTAGTAAGGTGTTCGGCAAAACAAACTTATTAAGTGTAGTAAGTATACGGTAAAACAAACTTATTATGTGTAGTAAGTGTACAGTAAAACAAACTTATTAAGTGTAGTAAGAGTACAGTAAAACAAACTTATTAAGTGTACGGTAAAACAAACTTATTATGTGTAGTAAGCGTTCGGCAAAACAAACGTATTAAGTGTTTACTACACTTAATAAGTTTGTTTTA